ATTATAAACTTAAAGTATCATCTTTGCTAATCTATATTAAAAAGAAAAGAAACAATACGAAGTCTTGCCAAGATTTTCATCATCAAAATGAATTGTGTATTATAGAAGGTTTATTTCAGTTGTCCAATATGCATCTTTTAAACCAGGCAAAAAATTCAGCTACAATAACCACAGAGAGAGCAACATAATTTGTGCTTCTAGGCAACATTTTGGGATATGTTTTAATAGAGATAGAAGGTAAGAAATTTCACTGCTGATATTTCTGAATGCATTTTCTTGTTCATAGTCTTGTTTATATAATGATGAGCTCTTCAGCTCTAGGAAACAAATGTTTCTTACAGCAACACTGCAACAGAGCTAAATTTATGATCTGCTTAAATAAACAAGGATTCCTATTTTCATAGTTACTTAAGCCAAGTAAAAAGCAAACAGATCTTTTCAGTAATACTACAATTATCATGCTCTACTTTCTCTGTAAGACTGAACATGAAAGGTTTGCATTATAGCTAATCTAAGTGCAATTTGAATATTCACAGCCAAGGGCAGACAACATTTGAAGATACTTTCACAGGAAGTATAAAATCAGTGCAAACCACTGTGTTTTTTTTGGTTTGGTTTGGGTTTTTTTTCCCCATTTTTAGGTTGCCTCTTTGAGTTCTGAATCCTTTGATTATTCTATTTGCCTGAAACATCCCAATTCATATTATAGGCTGTACTGTATCACAGTCCACTGTATGTATGAATAGATATTTTGATCCAGTCTTAGACACAGAAACAGAAATTAAAGTCACTGGTGACAGCAAAAAGACATCTAATCAGGTACTATCAGATGTTGCTGCCCATGTAGGTGATGCTGTGAAGTCCACGAAAGAACCATTAAACTTTATGCTGCACATTTTAGCAACTTCTAATTATGAGTTCTTTAAAACCTAACCTAAAACTGAATCTCACAACTATCCAGACTTAAAAGTTTTGTAACTTATTCAGGAAGATTTTCATCCCATCATCAAACAAGAGCCCAGACCAGTTAGGTGAGAGATGATCCACTACGGGAAGCGTTACAGCACTCGTGTTTTTATAGTTCTCATGTCACAAAATCAACTGTAGAAAAAATTGCTAGGCTCTTTCCTGTGGGTACAAAATAAATTTGAGTTATTTGTTAGCATGCAAACACGCCTACACTTCTTTAAGGACCAGCTGCAGGTGAATAAAATTGCTAGAGCCTCTGTAAAACACAAAAAAATGAAGCAATTTAATGTACAGACAAAGGCTGAATGAAAACAAAAATGCTTCTCAGCTTATTTGCAAAGAGAAACTCGTGTCTTCCCCAGATTGTGAGAAAGGACTGTGAGAAAACATGCCCAAGGACTTCTGCAGTGACACAACAAGCAGCTTCCAAACTGACTTTTAAGAAAACATTTACCATATCAGAGGATGCATCTTCCTGCTTCTGCTCAAGAGTGAGAAAAGAAACTGTCATCAGAAAAAAAAAAAAATACTAGGAATGCTTCCAAACTGAAGGCACAAGAGGTAGATTTTTCAATAAACTCTACTACTAGTGTTCAACTTCTACTCTCAAGGCAAATTTAAGCAACTCTCCAGACAGAGACAGGTTTGCCTGGATTGTAAAACACTTTTAAAAACCTCTTATGCATTATAAGTACAGCATGACCACGTACCTTGATTTTGCTAACAAATTTTCCCCTTTACTGATGACTTTTAAAAGAAAGGAATGGTTAGAACTGATTTTGACAAAGAACAAGGATGGAAACTCCTTGTGAGAAACTCATGGGGGAAGATCCTTCCATTCATTAAAAAACATTTTTATATGATACAAGGTAAGTTATTCTTGAGATCTTTAAGTTTTAACTTCATACTAACAACTTGAACAAAAAGGAGACCAGATCAAATATGTTTAGCACTTGAAAAGAAAAAATAGTGTAATAAGCCTGTGCAATGGGACCAGAGCAGAGCAAAAAACACAATGAGTTTGTCTCCCTGAGCTCTGTGAAATCATTTTTCTACCTGTTCAACTAAATTGTGGTGGGGGGAAAATGGGAAGAGGAATTAGTGGAGGAAAATACTTGCATGTTTGTTCTGAGATGAGTATTTTTTTCTCCTCATAGTTCTGATTTAAGGTTAAGAATTTTACTCTCGTAGAATTCAGTATCCTTCACAGATATTATAGCTTTGGTACACTCCTTAAAATATATCAAATTCTCAGATTAAGCTGCTAAAAAATTCTGCTAAGCAAAGCTGAATGTTAGTGTCACATTTCCTTCAAGAGACGGTCCTGATATAAAAGGGAAAAGAGCAAAGAAAATTATATGTTCATTATTTTGTAATGAGATGTACGACCATAAAGATGTTTATTTTAATCGTAATATTAAACAGCCTTCAGCAGAATATTTTTCCTTGCCTCATTTAAAGAAAGTGGCTTCTATGAAATCAATCTTTGAAAAAGCTTCTCCACAGAAATATTTTCAACGTCATTTCAAGTGTGTGTAAATCGTTACATTCAAACAGGAGACTTCTGTGTCTGAAGAAAGAGGTTATTCAGAAATACTGAAGAGAATAATTAGAATTCTTACGACAGCTTTTTAAACAATACAGGCTAAACTGTGGATAAAGTCAGAGTGGAAAAAAAATGGCTGGTTTTTTGCATTTCACATTAAACAGCCAGCTGACAAAAAACAAAGAAACTGTCCTGGGAACAAAATTCCATGACTTTTCCCGCCTCCAAAGCAAGCACCCTAGCAAAGGAACGGACTTTTTACTCCTTTTCATTTTACCATAGTAACACAATTTCTAACAGAAGCAACAAAGAATTTAATTCAGTAAAAGCTGCTGTACCATCCCTGCTGGTCTGTCTTTGGGCTCCCACAACGGCATAAACCCCCTGGGCTCCAGGATGCTTTCCTGGAAGATGTGGCTCTGGATCCACACATCTAAATAAGCACAACTCAATTTTACAGTAGCTTGATGCTGAAAAAAAAATCAGCATTAGGTGTGTTCAAAAACACAATTACATCAAGTTCTTCTAAGGAAACCTCAAATTCCTGGACTTCAATGAGACTTGGACAAGACATGAGCTTCAAGCTACTCAAACTAGATGGAAGGAAGTGATTGTCCGGCTCTGCTCTGCCCTGGGGCGGCCTCACCTCCAGCACTGGGGGCAGTTTTGGGCACCACAGGATAAAAAGGATCTACAGCTGCTGGAGAGTGTCCAGAGGAGGGACACAACATTGGGGAAGGGTTTAGAGGGGAAGGGTATGAGGAGAGGCTGAGGTCACTTGGTTTGTTCAGCCTGGAGAAGAGGAGACTGAGGGGAGA